CTTGGTCTGGCTAGCTGCTCAGCCCGGATTTAAAGAAGTACTTTAACTTCGGTTATATGACCTCTCATCCTTTAGCAGACGTTTCCAGATTATCTTGTCAGTTGGGCGATTCCTTGGGGGTCTGCCAGCCGAACCCAGGGGTGCCCCGACCCGAATCGGGCTCCAGCACGCTTGTCACGAACACAAATCCCAACACATGCACGCAAATACCACCAAAGCCAGCAATAATAAACTGACTTCTGGACCCTTGAGTACATCGCCTGGACACTGGGAAATAGAGAGGATCAGGGCCCAACGCACAGCCACACCACCAGAACTCCAAACCACCCGCTCACTCCTGCACCTCTAGCCCTCCAATCAGCTTCATCATAACCTCATCATCATGCACACCGCGTTCCACTTAGCTTTGGCGCTTTTCAGTGCCTCACAATAGGCCGCCGCATCCAGCTCGCTCTTGCCATACGTGTAAGTATCCTTCTTTGTTGTTTGATTAGACGGCCCGGCACCGGAGTCGGTCATTTTTGGGGGACTAAACGAGTCAAGGCTGTCGTTTCGCTTTAAATGTGTGTTGGTTTCGGGGCATTCAAAAAGTACAACATCAGAACGTTCTAACCCATTCTAGGCCTGCTCTTCTAAAATCCTAATTAGAAATTATATATTATAATTAGTTATAATTATTTCTAACATTCTAATAGAGCTGCAGCCCTACCTAAAACCCTAACACAGTAAAAACCCAAATGCCCGACCAGCCACACGCTGCCATCTTGCATCTCAGTTGCGGCGCACCATCTACCTACCTACTAGCTATTTAGGTACTTACCTACCTACTTACCTACCTGCTGCCTTCACACATCCAATCTGGATAAACGATGGCAGCCTGATGCCTTGTGCACAGGCGAAGCTGCCATTACACCCCCCTGTCCGCCGGAAACACGTAACTAAATGTAGGCGCCCATCAGTCGAGGTGTAACCCCGAGCTGCTAGGGCACAGCGACCACTCGAAATGCCCAGAGGGGCGTAAAAGCTATCGCAACAAGAAGCGCAACCAGAAGCGCAAGCACCAGCAAAGCCAAATGCAGGGGGTTGAACCCCTCCCCAAAACTGTCCATGACGTCTGCGGTACGAACGCGAATCGCCATCACGAGCAAGACACAGCCTGCCTGCCCCTCTTTGTATGGTGTTTACGTATCTACACCTTCTCCGTACAGTCCCCCCTCCTATTCCCCTCTAACCCCCAACCAGCAACCGCCTAGACAACAGAATGGAAGGTAGCCACGGCTCTAGCTACGCGTGCAACACCACATACAATGTAAGACGTACTGTACTACAAAACAGCACAGCGGCGCCGCGTCCGAGAAAGAAAGAAAGAAAAGCAAGCAAGAGCCGTGCGACCGGGACTGAATACAACGTTTTAACCGATACAAGGAACACTTGTGCAACAAATTCTGAAACAAGTCCAAAGGACGGCGGCAGAAAGGAAAGGCAGAGGGGATGCAATCACTGGGGTACTGCTCAATTGGTCATTGGTCACCGGACAGGCTGCTGAAGCTGTCCGGGGCTCTCGGAAGGATTGAGCAGCGGCCTTCTGCCTTCTGGTGATACGAGCCGGGGAGTCAGGCCCCGGAGGCGCTAGGCGCCTGCGCCAGTGTGTAGAATCGATATACCATACTGGACGTCAACCGCCGGGCCGTGAACTCTCTCCCTACTCGTTTCACACCAACAACCCCACAGTTGGAAATCTTTCATCTTCTCGCCTTCTTCGTCCTCCTGCTATGGCTCATTCTTTTCTGGCATAAAAACACGCACACAACACACGCACTTCCACACAGAACGTATTGAGGTTCAAAGCAGGGCCGTTAAAGCCCAGAGTTACAAATCCAGCAGCACTGCAGACCCCAGCACGTGAATAACCCCGCGCTGCTACACATATCATCATGAGGCTCATGCGCCATTCGGCTGGCGGCAGCCAGGTATTCATGCCGTGAACCCTGCTACTGCCCCCCACACACACCAACCCCCAAGCCACCCGCTGCTGCGTTACCACACGCCTCAATGTGGAAACCTCCCTGCGCTCGACCTACCTACCGATGTATTCTCACCACCCCTACTCCCCATGCATGCCCATGCCTGCGCACACATACACGCGAAGCAGTAACATAACACAAGCAGTAAACACAAAGCAAGGATGCTACGTGGAACGCGCCGCCACATGATCCGACGTCCAAACCCTGCTATCCTGTCGGGTGGTGACAGTTCCCCCTAGGCAGCGAGTCCGGCGCTGAAGGAGGTGCCGGCTCACCCGAAAGTACCTGTCTCGACCTATTGTGCGAAGACAACAATGAGCGTAACAAGGTAAGGTAACATATTGGCCACGGAATGCAGTAAGGACCGAAAACCGGAAATCTTTTCATTGCATCGGTGTATAGCCGCTGTTGCAACGCGACCGGGGCCCCTCACGACCTGCCAGACGACCCGCCACCAGACTGCGCACGCTGGTGAGAGGGATAGTACGGCTGCGCCGCTGCAGCGGCAGCAGTCGTCGCCAGGGCGGTAGCAGTCGCTGGGTATAATGGCCCTCCGCCGCCGCCACCGCCATCGCCACCAACACCAACACCGCTAGCCGAGCCGCTTTCCCCCGAGCCAAATTGCTGCACGGCAAACACGGGTGACTCTGGGCACGGCTGCGAGGGCGGCCTCGATACGCCTGCATGGCTTGAGCCGCCGCTGGCCGTGCGGCTGCTGTTCCGAGAGTGGTCGCGTCGCTGCGGCATTGCAGGG